GAGAGAGAGAGAGAGAGAGAGAGAGAGAGAGAGAGAGAGAGAGAGAGTCCACATCAAATGTGCGGGTGGAAACACAACTCAATAACTGCGTCGTGAGCAGTAAATTCTCTGCAAACGAAGAGTATTTTTGTCGGGTTCGTCTACCAATGGAAAATGGATTTTATATCGAAAGTATTTGAAATTCGTAAGGATAGATAGAATCGACAGCATAAGATTTTGTTTTCTCAAAAAAAAAAAAATCTTCATTTCATCCACATCGATTTTATCTTCATATAAAAAGTATCGCGTTGTGAAACATTTTTGCAACGGCTATATTCGGATATATTTACCCGAAATGTATACTTTGTCTATCATATACATTTTTATGTTTATTATTCAGTCATTTTATTTTGGTCATTCGCCGAATCGAACAATCACATGATCGATGGAAATAGAACAAGTAACTCGAGATTCCCAAGAGTCAACTTTATAGCATCGCAAAAAAGAACTTGAGTTTCACTCTTGCACACACTCACACATACAAATAAATGATTCAAAAATATGTTGGAAAGACGGGAAAAAGTCATAGCTCAGCTAAAAGTGTAGTTTGTCACCAAATTGCAAGGTTGAAGAGATATACATAAAATTGCATGTGACATCAATGTTGTTATCAAAACATTGGGTGTCTTGAGTGCGATGCTTGGCTCCTCGTCATTTTCGCATTTATTGAGTGCGGTCCATTTTTGTGCTGACTTATCGAAAAAATTATATTTTCATATCCAACATATATGACGATTTATGCACGTTCCCGTGAGACAAACTTTAATTGTATTAGCGGAAATGAGTGACCCCACTTCTTCAGCTACTGGTGGATTGGAATATTGATTCAATTCGCTGCTTACAACGCTCCCAGTTATAATGTTATTTCTTGTAATTAATTTTGACCATTGCACATTCATCTCGTTCGCTTCTGATGCAATCCACGTAACTGCGGTTGCAGTCGTTTTTATTAACTTATAAAATGTACAGTCACTCAATTGAAACGATGAATATCCAGTAGAATAAGGTAGACACCGAGAATCTTTCCTTCGAAGAAAGAGGCCTATATAGCATCTTGAAAGGTAAACCTTTCATCTTAAACATAAAAAAGTGTTATCACGTGATAGCGATCGCGGTGAATGAAACCGCCCGACCGTAAGATACTTTTCGTTTCGTCTATCTCGGGTTTTTGTGAATGAAAATCTTACGCAAATGAAGATGCGGCGGAAAGAATGAATCAACACTAACATCATGATGAATTATAACATTAACAAATCTTTTTTTTTGTTTGTTTTTGTTTACACGATGAAACATCATAGGGTTTTTTCATTCATTTTTTTTCTCTCTTGATCTTGTTTTTGATGACATTTTTTGAATTTCGCCGAAATTCGGACAAAATTTATTCAACGTAGAATAACGACGCATTTGTTTAAACCTCAAATATGTTCGGTTTGATCAAACCGACGAAAAGAGTAATTATAGTTGCTAATATTTAAACACATCTGTTTGATTGATGGATTTAGTTAGTGAGAAATGAATTTAAATTGCTAAAAATATATTTTTTTGATATTGTTTTTCCTATTCATTCATTTTGAAATATATTTACTTTTTTAAGCTATCGAAAGTACTTGAGAAAAATTGCGATCATTCATCATTGAAACACAGATCATTTCAAGTACACGAAAAAAAACCATGAAAAAAATGAAAACATTAAGGTGTTTATCGTTTCAAATTAAACCCTTTTTCAGAGTCATATCCAAATCACGTACCCAAAATAACGCATTTGTTACTAAGCATACTGTCTATTCGATCTTCAGATCTTATAGTTTATAATGCTCATCGCTCGAAGAATTTCCAGTCGAGATTGAAGCCGCGACAAATAAAATTAAATAGAAATGTTTTCGCGTTCGGTAATTTAAGTGAAAAAAAAGAACCATTTTTAGTTCCACTGTGTCACGTTTCACCACTCAAAATTCAATTATTGAACTCGTGTACCTTCTTTTACTAATCGTAAATACAACAAACACTTCGGGCTAATATAAAGGCATAAAATATTGTGTCGTGTGCGCAAAGCACATTCATGGAAAAAAAAGAGGTAGAGAAAATACAAAACCGACGAAGAAAGAGTGAAAATTAATGTTTAGCATGTTTCATTGTGACTTTTGTGTATTTTCCGCTTTTATGGCAGAAGACAAATCGTTTCGCCGAAACCCGTTAAACAAACACAAACACACTTTGTGATGAAAAGCGTGGATTTTCATTGGGTGTTACCACATTGTTAGTTCACGGTTCAAATGCGCATAATGAAAATAGTCGAGACGATTGGAAGAAAATCGAAAAAAATCGCAAAATGTAAATTAGTCGATGGAAGTTTAAAAGGATGGGAAAAGCTGAAACCATTTCCTTAGAAATTCCATCGAATATTGTTCTCGAGGCAAGAATCAGAATTGAATTGAAATGCTTGATCGACTTTCTTCAGAAACAATGCAGACTTTACAACGGTAGTCAATCGATTTGATATAGTTTGAAGGATGGAATTTTAAACCAAATTCAGATTTTTAGTTTGGCTACTAATGTTTTTGGATATTTAATCGTAACAACAAAATATTCTCAGGTCAATGAGATGATCTCAATAGATGGAAATATATATCGAAATTTTGTTTCGATCAAAAACGGTTCGATGCGTTGCCGTCGGACTTTTTTCGGAGTCGATCAGTTGTGATCAACTTGTTTTGTGCAACTAAAAATATTTGAGCTTATTTTATCACTTCTATTTTGGCATTCATTATTATATAAGGCTTTTATTTGTTATTTTCATCGCAACAAATTCAATCTGCTAATTCGGAACGGTAAAAAGGTGGAAAAATCCCGTTGCCTGGATTCTACTAGCCCTGCTTGTTTACTCACAGAAAAATTTGCCGTTGATTTTTCTTCGAAAGTTTTTTAAATGTTGAGAAAATGTTTTCATGCGTAACAATGGGATTATGCACTCAGGCTCATTGCAGAAAAACCACAAAGTATCAATATTGAAGCTGCACCGTTAGTCTGCCCAATCGAACTGTGAAAACCAAAATTCTTCGCGGTTGCAAATTTCGGTTGCGAAGAATATTTCCGCAGTGAGTTAATTTGGATGTAATCGCTTAAGTACATTTTCTGGTTGACAGCGTCAATTGATTCGAAGAAAAATGAAGTGAAAATACCAATCACACAAACTCGATTACAATGGAATGAACGGCAAAAAAAACGAGAAGCCCGAAGCGCAAAAAGCTGATTAATCGTTAAAGACCCATGAAAAGAACATGTTTTTTCTTCACTCCAATTCTGAAATTCACCATTTAATTGGGATTGTTACCCCTTCGTTCTCTCTGCGTGTGCAAGCATACGGCTAAAAAGAAAAAAAGGCGCGCATACAAAAACCAAATCGAAAGATTGTCTGTTCAAGAAAATGGTTTAATTGAAATTGGTGATTCGAAAGGTAAAAGAATGTCTGCTGAAAAAAAAAACAGCGTTCATTTCACAGGTGATACGTTTTTTTCGTAGTCCAACTGTGCTATTGAAGAGCTATTTAGTAAAATATAATGTTTTTGTTTGAGAAAATTCTAGAAGCATCGATTCGATTTGTGAGAAATTCTTGAACTGATTGAAATTTTTTTTCCTTATTATCGAAGAAAACAATGAATTAATTTTTTCCGCGGCCGTTCGATGAAGCCAGACAGAGTGGCTGGCTTGTTGAAGCGACAAATCACCAATCATCATTTGTCATTACCGACGCGATCGACATTAGCTTCGATGCGCACCACCAAATCGACATGTAGAACAAAACCAAAAAGTTCAAGACAAAAACCACCGGTAAA